AAAAGTACATGCCAAACAAGACTGACGATGGCGTTCTGCTGTGTGATGATGCTCTTGTACACTGCAATGATTTGGCACTCGATTGTCCCCCCCCCCCCATTGGTTTAATAAAATGCTGACTGGCCAGTAGCCAGGCAAAAAGTATAGGTGGAACAAGCAGATTAGAATTCTGGGAAGAGGAAAAGCAGAGACGCAGTCACAAGTCAGAGACAGAGGAAGCAAGATGAGAATGCCATACTGAGAAAAGATACCAAGTCACATGGCTAAACATAGACAAGAATTATAGGTTAATTTAAGTTGTAAGAGCTAGTTATTTTTTCTTTTTTTTCTTTTCTTTTGGTTTTTCAAGACAGGGTTTCTCTGTAGCTTTGGGGCCTGTCCTGGAACTCACTCTGTAGCCCAGGCTGGCCTTGAACTCACAGAGATCTGCCTGCCTTTGCCTCCTGAGTGTTGGGATTAAAGGCATGTGCCACCACTGCCCAGCTAAGAGCTAGTTAATAAAAAGCCTGAGCTAACAGGCCAAACAGTTTATAATTAATATAAGCCTCTGGGTGTTTCTTGGGACTGAATGGCTGCGAGACCCAGCAGGACATTAACATCTAGAGTTTGATCATCAGAATCCAGATAGTGGAAGAAAAAAAACTATCTGCTTCAAGATGTCCTCTGACCTTCACAAACAAGCCCACATACATGCACACTCACGCACAAGCATGCATGTGTCCATAAACAATAAATACATATAACATAAAAACTTTTACACATCTTTAATCACAGCACTTGGGAAGCAAAGGCAGGTAAAACTCTTCAGTTTGAAGCCAGCGCAGTCTACACAGTGAGACTCTGTCTCAGAAAAACAAAGAACTGAATGAGGGACTCAGACCACTTAGCTCTGCTCCAGAAGGAGGCAGTGATGGAGGGAATAGTGTTTCCACTGCCAGAGGTGTCAGAAGAGCTCCTACTTGTTCTCTTTTCTCATGATCTAAGACAGAAACAAACACACTAACACAATCTACAACTAAAAATAAAGTCTGAATACTACTAGTCTAAAATACAATTGAGGGGCCACTTGGGGATATACAAATCAGAGAGGAGATAACAGGCTAGTGATATGGTTCAGTGGATAAAGATACTTGTTGCCAAGTCTGATGACCTGAATTCAATTCCCAGGACCTGTATGACAGGAGAGAACTATTACACGCTGTTCTCTGACCTGCATGCACATGCTGCAGCACACACCTCCCCACTACCAAACATAAATAAATATATTTAAGTTCAGATGAAAAAAGCAGGAAATAAGCTTGGCTACAAAAAGAGCAGGCTGGACATGGGCAGTTACAGATGGCCATATCTTGTGATACTAAAAATCCAGGTTTGCCCAGCACAGCCTCCACTTCTTCCTACCGCTATCCCTAAACCATTTCAGAGTGCTGTCTGGTCACTTCAATCAGCAAACATCAAACATCAAAGCTGTGATCTCCCCATTCTGACCTCCCAAACTAGATAAATCTAAAGTCAACCCTATCCTAGTCTTGTATGACTTATTCCCAGCAGATAGCCACACGTTCTTTTGCTCTCTTCAGTATTTGCATATTACTTGAGAGTTATCGACTTTTAGCCCTTTGGCCTTGCTAATTTCTTGGTAGACACAATCACCTCAGACCTCTGCATTTGCCTCCTCTACTATTGATACCTCAGGACAACCAGGGCTTGGTATGTACTTACTCTCTACCCTCAGGGCCTGCAGAGGGATAGTTCAGCCAGGGTATCCACCACAATCCTCTCATGTGGCTTCTCATTTGGGGAAGTGGGGGATGAACCCTAGTCCACGTATTACTTGTTCACTTCCTTCCAATTCCAACAACCATAATGCAGAAACACATTACTTTCCTGTCAACCACAAGAACCACCAATCTCTTCACACTTCAGCTCATCGTGTGCACCAACTCAAGGCAGCTTAACCATCCACTCCCCACCAGAGTCAGCAGAGATCGGCAGCAGCTTCTTAATCTGCCACACCCCTAGACAGCCCATCTAGACCCAGCTCTCACAGCACCTGAGACAGCCCAACCTTCCCAGCCCAGTTTGGACTGGTAGGAAACACACCTACATCCATCAGGGTCCTCACTGACTTCCCTAGTCAAATAAACACCTCCTTGTCTGTCGTCAACCACACCACCACCACCACCACCACCACCCCCACGGTCTAAGAGTATAGTGCACAGAACCTTTCTGGCAGAATCAAGGGCTTTTGCCTGATGCTTCCAAGAATGCTCACACCAGGAACAAGGTTACAGTCCAGCATGGCCAAGAAATGCTTCCAGAAAGCATTGTCCCCAAGTTCTTGGCTTCAGAAGCCATGTGGGCCAGAGAGCTCAACTTGCCCAGCACCTAGTAAGAAACAAAGCAATAGCCAATGATCCACAAGCAGAACCACAAGACTTGTTCTTTCTCTTATGTTCATTCACCCTTGAAGTTAATACTCCAACATATACAAAATTATTTCAGGGGGTAATTCCAAAACAACTGATTTAGATCCAGCTAAGTGATCAGATAGGATGCATAACCAAAGTCAGTGGACACAGGAAACTAGCAAGGTTAGTTGTGCCAGGCTACAAATGTGACTCAGTTGGTTAAGTGCTTGCCTAGCATGCATGAAGCCCTGTGTTTGATTCCTGCACCACATTAAACAGAGCATGGTGGTGCACACCTGTATTCCCACAACTGGATAGGTAGAGGTAAAGAATCGTAAGTTCAAAGGCATGCTAGGCTATATAGCTTAGAATACCATAAGATCCTGTCTCTTAAAAAAGAAAAAAAGTCAGATGTGGTAACACACATCTTTAATCCTGGCACTTGGGAGGCATAGACAGGCAGATCTCTGTGAGTTTGAGGCCAGCCTGATCTACAGAGTGTGAGGTCCAGGATAGCCAGAGCTACTAAAAAATAAATAAATAAATAAAAATCAAAACCAAAACCCACGGGACGGAGAGCCCTGATTGCTCTTTGGGCTGAAGAGGGAGGGGGAACGTATTGGGGGAGGGGGAGGGAAAGGGGAGGCGGAGGTGGGGAAGAGACTGAAATATTTAATAAATAAATAAAGAAAAAAAAATAAAATAAAAAAAAAAAAAAAAAAAAACCAAAACTGAAAACCAATCTTATCCAGTCAGTCACAAGACCAAGGTCCCTCTCATACTTGTGTTTTTTTGTTTTTGGTTGGGGGGGGGGGCGGTGAGACAAGGTCTCACTGTATTGCTCTGGCTGTCCTGTCCTGGAATTTACCTTGTAGACCAGACTGGCCTCAAGCTTGAAGATTCCCCCTGCCTCTGCTCCCGCAAGTGCTGACATTAACCGAATGTGTCACTATTACGGATTTTAACTTTTTTTTTTTTTATTTGCCTTTTCAGCACTGGAAATTAACCTCGCAGGAGCAAGGGAGGCAAGAGTTCTATCACTGAGCTGCATGCCCAGCTTCAAACTTGCTTTTAGACACAAAATCATACTTATGACTCCTCCATTGCCCTAACTACTCCTCCTTTATCTCATTCAGAACAACACTTTCCTTCATGATTTTCCTAAGGGACTGCAGGTGACAGGAAGCAGCCAGTCACTAGCAAGGTAAGTCTTTTTTTCTCCCACATCACTGTGTCTCTTGGAAAACTCTCCCACACCAGTACAGACAGGTCAGGTGATGGTGTGGAATGAGACCTTGGCCTGACACACCCAAGGCCAGGCCAGGGTTTCCTGGGAGCCAGGGGCTCACAGCAGCAGCCCGACTGCCACTTTCCCACAGAAGGGGACCGACACTGAGTTCAGGAACACAGTGATGTGCACAGCCAGCCGAATGAGTGCAAGTTCTAGCACCTAGGCCTAGCTCTGTTGGAAGGTCATACGCAGGACTTTCCAATTAAATAAAATCCTTTTTTTTTTTTTTTGCTTAAGCTAAATTATCATTTCACACGCCTGGAATGAATAAAGCCTTGTACCAAGCCGGGCGGTGGTGGCGCAGGCCTTTAATCCCAGCACTCGGGAGGCAGAGGCAGACGGATCTCTGTGAGTTCGAGACCAGCCTGGTCTACAAGAGCTAGTTCCAGGACAGGCTCCAAAACCACAGAGAAACCCTGTCTCGAAAAAACAAACAAACAAACAAAAAAAAAGCCTTGTACCACTGCTTACAAAAAAGGCTACTTTTCTGCACTTGTTAGCTTACAATGGACCGTGGCCTTGCCTTATCTCTTCCTAGCTGTCTATCTGGGTCGGAGAGCTGGACTAAGCGATTAGGAGGCGAGGTCATCGGTTGAGGGTCTGCAGTTGGTGAAAGTAAACAGTAAGTCCCCACTGCCCTCACCCCGCCCCTTGTTCGGAGCCCAAGTCCCACTCTTCCGTGTTCTGTTACTTCCAAGGGCATAACGGTGGCCACGCTCGCTTCTGTCGGGGTTTACTAAGCCAAGTCTGAGGTTCTAACGGCTGCCACCCCACCGCACGAACTTCCCGGAAACGCTTTTAAAGATCGACCCTGGCTACTCCTGGAAGTATTTATTCCGAGTGCTCCAACCAACAGGCCTCTCCGTGGGAGATGATGCCGCGTGGCAAACCCCATCTCTTCCCTGCCCAAGGCACCAACCCCCAGCCGGGAACCCCAGGGCGCCCTCAGTCACCGACCTCGGATCCGCGAAGGGACGCTTCGGTCCGGGTCGGGGCACAGCAGGCGACGTAACGAACCGGACCCGCCGTGTGGAGTCCCCCGAGTCCCCGCCCGCCGCTGCGGCCGGCTCCGGCGGGGCGAACGAGCGGGCCCGAGGCCCCGCGCAGCCCGCGAGCGAGCGCCCAGCACCTCTCCCTGAGGCCGCCGCCGCGTTCAGCTTCGCCGTGGTCGACGCCAGAGCAGGGTGCGGAAGAGTGGGGGCCGTTCTGGGAGCCGCACCCGCGCCAGGACTCGGCCCCACCGCACCTGCCGCAGCTTCTCGGCTGCTACCGCCGCTCGGCTTCCAAGATGGCCGCTCGGGGGGGGGGTGGCCGGGCGCCGCTTCCGCTTCCGGTGCGCCGTTTGCGAGGGGAAGCGCTTCTCTAGGCAGCTCGGTGAAGGGCTCTACTGTCCGTCCCCGAGTGTCCCGGGTGTCTCCGTCTCCTCTGTGTCTTGGAGTAAGTACGTCCCGCCGCTGCGCAAAGGGTTGCTGGCGCGTGCGCACTGGGAAATAGCTGGGACGGGGCGGGGCGGGGCGAGGGGTGGGGCGGGGCGAGGGGTGGGGCAGGGCAAGGGTAGGGGCGGGGCGGAGGCGGGGACGGACGTGGCTCCTTTCTGTCTCAAAGATTTGGGCTGGTTGCTTGTCTCGTCCAGGACGCTCCCTGGACAGGATACTGGCCGGCTGGCACCCCAGGAACAATAAGTGGCTGCAGGAATCCCCGCAGTGCTCCCGTCCCCCAAATCTCGGGCCAGTCCGGGACGGGGACCCGTGAATTCACCACGATCTGAGACTGCCACCGGTCACCTTCTGCGTGAGGATCCACTGGTCGGCTCTTAACGCGAGGGTTCCGGGCTTAAAGGTCATCCCGCTTGCTCTCGCTACCCCTCTAGCCCTGAAGATCCCTGTGTACAGCGCAACTCATGGTCACAGGCAGAGCCAACTCCGCGACAGCCTCCAAGCACTGAGGACAGCCGTCCTCGTAAAAAATAGTTCCTGTGTTTTTGTACCAAGCTTTCCATCCAGCTCATGAATACCGTCATTATGCTCGAGGACATTTCTCTAAGACGTATTTTCCTCTCCCACGGTCTCCTTCCTGGCCCAGGGGAGGGAAGGTGTCACAGCTTGGTCACTTAGCCAGATTATCTGGCTGGGGCTGAGGCATGAGACTGCCAGTGAGGATGTTCTGGATGGGAGTTCGGATCCTGGCAGCTGGAGAAGCTGGGCAGAGAGGCTGATAGATGTCCAGACTTCCTAGTCCCTCATGCTCACCTTCCTGCCTCACCATTGCATTCCTGGGATGCTCAAGTTTGTTCTTAGGTTGGTGACATATTTGTCACACACATCCCATGTTCTTGACCCAGCACCTTCCCGTTCCATTTGCTTGCGAACCCAGTGTGTGTAGGTTCCAGGAAACCAAGCTGGATATGGCAAGTGTTGGGACTCCACCTTGCAGGGCAAGGAAGGGCTGGGATCTGGAGAAAAGGACCCGGATGGTCTCACATCCTCTTTGGTCACTTGAGAAGCAGCTGAAGACTGGACTAAGTGTCCAGTCCTTGGGGTGTCCTCAAGCTGTTCCAGGGATGCAAGTTTGGGCTGTGAAGAAGAAGCAGTCATTGGCAGTGCCTGGCCAACCAGATATGTAGGGCAGAACTGCTGTTCAACTTTAAGGTCTTGTCCTTCACCGTGACCCTAACTGCTCCTGGGCATCCGCAGTGGGCTCACTGATTATTGACAATTGGTGCTGTGAGATTCAGCACCATGAGTTCAGCAGTGACCGTTGATTCACAGGGCAGGTGGTAGATGAGCCCACCCACCTGAGTTGTGATCTGGGCTGCTGCAGTTCTGGGGAGATCGGTGGCTTCTCCCATTGTCAGACTCAGCAAGCACATCAGCACAGACGCTGCCTCTTCCTTCCCCAAGGTAATGTGGTCCCTAATCAAGGTAATTTAAGCCACTTTTGTTGTTTGGTAGACAAGCCTGTCATGCATTTTCTTAATTTGTGATTGATGTGGGAGGGCCTAAGCTATTGTGGGTGGGGTCACCCCTGGGCTAGTGGTCCTCAGTTCTATAAGAAAGATGCTGGGCAGAGTGATGTTTGCCTTTAATCCCAGCACTCGGGAGGCAGAGGCAGGTAGATCTGAGTTCCAGGCCAGCCTACAGAGTGAGGTCCAAAACAGCCAGGGTTACACAGAGAAACCTTATCTGAAGAAAGAAAGAGAAAGCTGAGCAAGCCGTAAGGAGCAAAGCAGTAAGCAGAATCCTCTGTGGCCTCTGCGTCAGCTCCTGCCTCCAGGTTCCTGTCCAGTTTGAGTTCCTGCCCTGCCTTCCTTCAGTGATGAACAGTGATGTGGAAGTGTATGCCAAATAAATCCTCTAGTTGTGGTTTGAATATTTGAATGATTGGTCACTAGGGAGTGGCACTATTAGGAGGTGTGTCCTTGTTGGGGTAGATGTGACTTAGTTGGAAAAAGTGTGTCACTGGGGGTGGACTTTGGGTTTTCAAATGTTCAAGCCAGACCCAGTGTCTCTCTGTCTGTCTGTCTCTGTCTCTCTCTCTTCCTGCTGCTTGCCAATCCAGATGTAGAACTCTTGGCTCCTTCTCCAGCACCGTGTCTGCCTGCATGCCGCCATTACTGTGGTCATGGTGTCTCATCACAGCAATAAAAACTCTAACTAGGACACCTCTCCTCACCAAATTGCTTTTTTTCCCTGGTGTTTCATAGCCATTCTCCTACCTGCTTTTTTTTTTTTTTTTTTTTTTTTTTTTTGGTTTTTCAAGACAGGGTTTCTCTGTGGCTTTGGAGCCTGTCCTGGAACTAGCTCTGTAGACCAGGCTGGTCTCGAACTCACAGAGATCCGCCTGCCTCTGCCTCCCAAGTGCTGGGATTAAAGGCATGTGCCACCATCGCCTGGCCCGCTTGTTCTTGTTGGAAGCACTAACGTACCTACCAGGGTAGCGTGAATACCTAGTGCTCTCAATCACCCGAGTCATCTCTCCAACCCCTTTCGGTATCTCTCAAAAAGTAGTTAGTGAATAGTGACCACAGGGCCTCTTGTCGATCAATAAGCAGGGACATTCTTATGCTACCCCACCTGCCTCCCCTTCACAGGACCAGAAGCACCTGGGGAAGCGAGTGTGGGACAGGCCAAGAAGAAGGAAAGACACATACTCTGAGGCCCAGATCAAGTGTAAAACATGAAGCTGAACTTCATAGTGCCAGAACATTAGCTGTTCCTTCAGGCTTTCCCAGGAAGGCGTGAAAGGGGCTGAATTAGAGGCCAGTCAGTGTTCCTTCATTCTCCCCCTCCCTCCCTCCCTTCCTCCCTGTTTATCTATCTATCTATCTATCTATCTATCTATCTATCTATCTATCTGCCTTCCTTTCTTCCTTTTTCCAGCCCCAGAAATACTGGGAGATATGAGTTACTCTAGTTCAGACAACTTAACCCAGGCTCTTCCTGCTGCTGCTGAATGTCCATTCCCACTCCTCCCCAGGAACACTGCTTAGGTGTGGGATGTCACTGCCCACAGTACTATCTGCCTTGTCTGTTCCTGCCAGAACCTAATTAAGTCAGTATCCTGGGGTGCCCTGGGGGTGCTCTGCTGGCAGCTTGTGCTTCTATTAAAGCAGTATTGGAGCTACCCAGTCCCCATGGCAGTGCCCATGCACTCTGAGTGCTAACTCTCCCCATCTGTCACTCTATACGACATGAACCCACATTGGTGGAGTTCTGGGTATTGTCAGTCTTGGGTATGGGCTCCCCAACATTTATTTCAGCCTGGGATGTCTTCCTGGGTTTGGTCTCAGATGATACCTCATGATGTAATTTCTCCTAATCCTTGTACCTAGTCAGGACTTCTCAGATCTCTTAGTGTCACTGCTGAAGGAACAACCAGACACTACTAGGAGCCCAGGCTTATGAGGTAAAAGGGAACTTTATAGGTCAGTCGTAAGCTCGGTTGTAGGGCACCTCAGGAAGAAGGGCCAAGTAGAATTCCAGGTAAGGAGTGGCTATGAGCCTGTCATGAGGACATGTGACCCTGGAAACTGCCAGGCTGGGGACTTGACCTCAACTCTGAAGTTATGAGAGTCAACGGGTCCAGCTTCTAAAAAAAATTCTCTCTTTTTAGAAGGGGAACAGACTTCTGTCTTCATTGGACACACAGGGACACTGAAGTCACTTAGTGCTGGATCACCCTGATCCATGTCATGGGAAACTCTACAACGATCTACCCTGCCTCCAGAACAAATGCCATGCCCCAACATCTGAAAGCACGTGATGCATTTGCCTGGGAGAACATCTGTGCTCTCACAAATTCAACCTTAGTGAGGGCTGGGACTCAAGGAGGTGAGGGTGCTGGCATGCTGCTGTGCTTCAGCAGGCTTTTCTAGCAGAGAGAAACAGTGGGCTGTGTCTGACCTAACCCTGTGTACCCTTGGTGTGATAGTATCAGTGACAACTGCATCTACTGTTCCTGCTCCTCGGGTATACCGGCTGCTCAGGAATGATATCATTTCTGCTACACGGACATCTGGGTTCTATTCCCATCTGCCTGGGAGTGACCTGGTGACCACTTTGTCTTGTCCTGTCACTGTGACAGTGAGGATGGCTGGGATGGGTAAGCAGGGAATGATTGGTGGGCTGCCCCCCTCTATCCCACCAGCAGAGTGGCTTTATCCTGGGGTCAGGAGTTAGCTGCCCAAGGCTGGCTACAGACAACTCATTGCACAACAGACAGGCTATGGCCCCTCAGGGCACACATGCTAGGGTAGGAAGCCCCACCACCAGACCTATGGTAATTGCTGTACCTTTAAGGGTGCTGGGCTGCAGGGCCCCTGCCACCATAAATGGTGAGTGCTAATCCCCAGCAGACATCTGGACGTAAATATAAAGTGAGTTGGGCAGGTGTCCTCAACATCTCTTTCTTGGCTTCCCCAGGGATCAGCCTAGTCCTCGGGGATAAAAGGCAAGATCATCTCCTTCTTGGAAGGATTTCAGACCTTGGAGACTAGAATCAAGGACATGGTTCACAACTACACACACCCTTCTAGAATGCAGTGGCTTCGGTTTCTGACCAGGAGCACAGAATTTGAGAAGTAAACAAGGCTATTGGGCTTCCTGTCCAACCCAGGCACTGGGGTAAGGCAGGGCCTCAAGATGCAGTGAGCAGAATTGAAGCCCCTTTTCCCCAAGACAAGGTGCATTGGCTTGGAAGTCCCTTTGGCCTCTGCACGGATGGTGCTAAGGGCATAGATACTGAACTGCTGTATAACACCCCAGACCTCATGCAGGTGAATGGGTGACAAAGAGAGTCCCTGAACTGTGTGTGGGTAGGGCCCTCAGCTTAAGGCCTTGCTGTCTCTTCAGGCATGCCTGGTGGCCTGCTTCAGCAGCTTGTGATGGAGATCTGCTCCAGCTAGAGCCCGGCTCTGCAGCCACAAATGACACCCAGCCTGGGGTGAGCCTGTCATCTCCTTTGGGATTGCTGGAGGTCTCTGAGGCAGTGACTCCTAATGGGCCCTCTCTAAACAACCCCTCAGGTCACTGCTCCTACCCAGCCTACCAGGACCTGGAAACCCAACCCACCGGTTTTCTTGTATTTCCCACTGCCCCAGGCCTTGCAGGACAGAGAGGATAATGGGGTTAGGAGTTAGGCATCAGTTCCCCAAAGCCCTACAGGATAACCACTGGTCCCCTTCCTCCCAGGGTGTCTTTGTACAGATTCTTCACAGGAACCTCCAGGTAACCTTCAGCCAAGTCATGTGGGGGTGGACTAGCCAGTGCCCCTGGTGCTAGAGCAGGGAGCCTATAGCTCTGCAAGTCCCTGTGCTGTGCTATGCTCAGAGAGTAAGAGACCCATGGAGCTAAGGGTAGAGCCAGAGCCGGAGGAGGGCGCACCCCCCAGGGACACATCCTGCCTCTCTTCTGCCAACCTCCCTATACCTCTGCTGCTACCCTTGAAGCAGAGTAGCCAAGGTGAACATTCTCTATCAGGAGCTTAAATACCATATTGAGGATGAAGCAACAGTATACTCTGAGTGGTTAGAGAGACACAGGACGAGGGCTGGGTAGAGGCAGTCCCCTCCACATTCCTGTGTATAGGTGGGATACAGGAGGCCCTGCTGGACTTGCTGCCCGTCTGCCCACAGGTTCCACAGCCGTTGTGCCATGGGCAGCCTCTGGAGACTGTGGTTCAGCTCATCTGTCTCGTCCCTGCTGGAGCTGCTACTGGATGTCATTGCCCTTGCCCGGCTGCTACTGGGTTTTCACTGGCTCTGCTGGGGGGAGAGCTGTCCTAGCTGGGAGTCAATACTGCTTCAGGGCAGTCCCACACCATATCAGAGGCCAGCCAGAGACCTCCACCCCAAGCTTCAGGGGATGATGCCAGAGGCCCAGAAGGAGATAACCCCACAGAGATGCTCTCAGGGTCTTTGGGAGAAGTTTCAGTGTAAGAATTCGGGTAAATTCCAGGCCCTTGAGATTTTGTTTGTTTTTCGAGAGACGGTTTCTCTGTAGCCCTAGCTATCCTGATACTTGCTCCTCCGTATAGACCAAGCTGGCCTCGAACCCTAGATCCACCTGCCTCTGCCTCCCAAGTGCTAGGATTAAAGGAATGTGCCACCACTGCCTGACTGTTTGATTTTTGAGACAGAGTTTCTCTGTGTAGTCCTGGAATGAGATATGTAGACCAGACTGGCCTCAAACTCCGAGATTCCCCTACCTCTGCCCCCCAAGTTCTGGGATTAAAGGCATGCACCACCATCCCTGGCACTATCTTGAGATCTTGACAGCTATCTGATCCCTCGGTCTAATGTTGGGAGCTGTAGTAGCAGTGAGCTCCCTAGTTGCCCAGAGTGTACCAGACTAGCCATTTGAGGATCCAGAAAGCAGTACCATCTGACCCATGCAGAAACCAAGTATATCCAACACACCAGGGACTCTCTACCCACCTATCCCACCAGGCAGTGGCCTCTTGGGTTGAAGGGGATCCCAAGACATGGCTGGGTAGTATCCCCTCTCTAGACTCCTGGACTCTGGATATGGGCATGCGTGTAGAGGTACTTCTACACAGTGGAGTCTATTTGGTTATCACATTTGTCTGTGCGTGTTTCTGACACATGTCTATATACATACATACATACATACACACATGTGTATATGAATGTGTGTGTGTGTATATATATATGTATATATGCATATCAGACAGAGCCTGTACTGGTTTTAAGGTAGCCTATAGGTAAGCAGGAATAAAGGTAAATCCAAGCCAAGACACCCACTGACCTTGGGCTGCAGTAACGTCAGCCGTTCCCTCTACTGTCTTATGCATAGATGTGTCTCACCAGTCACCTACATCAGGGTGAGCTGCAAACCTCAGAGTCTAACTCAATGCCACCTTGAAACGGAGCACAGCAAACACACTGCAGTGAGGGACCACTGGGGGCAGATTGGGGACACAGTCTAATTCAGAGAAGGACAGAGAGGAGAGGCCAGGGAACAGGGGCTAAGGATGTCAGGTGTCAGTTTTTCCCGAAGCACCAGGCTCCTGGTGGCTGGGTTATATCCTCTTGGGAAGGGGCAACGTTGGGACTCCGCTTCAGGCTGCTCCCAGACAAACCTTCAGCTGAGAAAGAGCCAAGCAAGGCTTGATACAGCAACGAGCAGGCAGTGGATGCAAGCGGCAGAGGTTTATTAAGTGAGAGTGATCAGAGCAGGAAGGAAGTGGGATCCTGCCAGCCCGGAGGTGGCAGGGTAGGTGGTGGGCAGAGCTCAAGCAGGAGGAAGAAGCCGATTCTGCTCTTTAGGGCCGCAGCCATCAAGCAAGGGAGTCAGAGGCCCTGATCCAGTGCCTACCTTACTGCCCATGGATGCTCCCAGGGCAGTATTTGCATAGTGACCTAGCCAAGGGCTCCATAGTATGCAGAGGGGCCCAGCCTCTATCCTGGAACTCCTCCAGAGAAAAGGAAATTGAAGGCATTGGTGGGCCCCCCAAAGAAGGGACCACTGGACCTATCAGAGGCCCAGCCCAAGGACTGAAGCTTGGGGGCAGGGCAGGGGACATCTATGTGGGCCTCTCCAGCCACAGGAAGAGCTGGGATCAGGATGGTCCTTGAGAGTCCACAGAAAAAAAGACGCAGACAAAGTCAGAATGAGGTCGCTGTAGAAAATCCTCTCAGTCAGTAACAAAGGACATTGGGCACACGGTGGAAAGTGCCAGTTGCTTTAGTTAGGTGTGGGCTCTGGCCCAGGTAAACCAGACAGTGCCTCTGGAGAAGGCAGGGATGGAGTTAGGCCCTCAGGCACCAGGACCCAAGTGGCCAGCCACGTGGCCTTGGGACGCCTGCGTCCAGCCTGGGTCCAAAAGTTCCACCTCCCAGCACCGTCAAAGCCCGACCTGGATGCTGGGGTCACTGAGCGAGGTACTCAGGTTGATTCCCTGGGTGGGCTGCCAACTCCTGCCAGGGAAGGTGCTGGTGGCCAGCCACCAGCCCCAGGCTGGAGGGAGGGCTCTGGGGGTATGTAGGAAGGACCTAGCTAGCAGGTCAGTGTTCTGGGGCAGTAAACATAGGGGCACAAGGTGAAATAGGCCCTGAGGGCAGAGGGGTATAAGGTGACATGGACCTCAAGAGTGGTTTGTCCCATGGACAGCCCAGACCCCTGAAGAAAGGACCACCTGAAGACAGAGGTTCCCCAGGTGAGACGAGGGGCAACAGATGATGCAGCACCCCATCCCCCAAAAGTGGGGCTTCAAAAAATTCAGTGCTTGGGTCCCTGTCCTCTGGCTGAGCATTAAAGTAGCCAGAAGGAGGGACGAGCAGGAAAGTGGGGACTCCAGAAATGCCAAGGTACTGGGCTGTAGGGATGGGCCCACAGTTGTCACAGGCAGGGCTGTGGCTAGATGAGGGGCTAGGGTCTTCAGGGACATGCAGGACTTCTGGGCCGGGTAGGCTGGGGTCAAGGTAGGGGTCCCTCAGCTGCCCGGCCTGCCAGGCCCTAGCTTTCCTCCAAGTGGAGGCCAATGAACTCCTGGATGCACCTGCGGTACTGCAGCTCGGTAGGACTGCTTCCTGGCAGGGGGCCTGGCTGGCCAGGGGCCGCCTCAGCTTCTCTCATCTCCTCAGCCATGCGGGCCAGGCGGAGTCTGGGGGTGGGGAACAGTGTGAGGTGACTCTGTCCCCATGTAGTCGGTGTCCCTTTGACAGTGACTACATCCCCAGGACCCTGCCCGACTCACAGTGTGACGATGTCAGCGTTCGCCGCTTGAATTGCGATGGTCAGCGGATCCTGCTGCTCCTGGTCCAGGGCATGCTGGTCAGCCCCCCGCTTCAGGAATAGACAGACCTGGCTGAGGGTAGAGGAGCTTATTGAGAAGGCCCCAAGGCGAGGGGATACTGGTAGCACGAGAGAGACCCATGGAACTCACCCAGTGCGGCCCAAGAGTGTAGCATGGTGCAAGGGTGCCCGGCCAAGGCTGTCTCTTTGGTTCACATCAGCCCCATTTTGCAGAAGGAACTCGCAGACAATCAAGGAACCCTAGGGATCCAGGGAAATCACACTGACCTCCTGCCATGAGCACCCCCAAAACAGGACCAAGCCTGTCTCTAGAACAACAGAATACACGTGTAGGCATGCAGTCTTGTGTGCAGATGCCCGCCTGTGCTCACCCCTAACACAGCCTGTACCAGTGGCGTCTTGCCCTCATCTGCTGCGTCAGCCCAGTTGACTTCAGCTCCGTGGGCCAGTGCTGCAGCCAGTGCAGGGAGATCGCGAGTCCGTGCTGCTTGGTGTGCCAGTAGCCCAGGGTGCAGCTCACGCACATCTGCCAGGCTCCAGGCCTCCGAGTCTCCATCTGCCTCACTGTTGGACTCCTCAGACTCAGCACCCTCTGCGGGAGGGTACAGGATAGGGAGCTGAGACCCTCAAAGGTGCTAGGATGATGGGCTACGTGGAGGCAGAGAGACACACACCTACCTTCCTCGGTGACACTGTCCACCACAGAACCTGTGCCGAAGGCCAGGACATCTGAACTGCCATCAGAGCTGCCTCCGAGACCACTGTCACTGCTTAGACCTGCAGGACCACAGGAAGGGAATCTTTAGCACTGGGGGGGTCCCAGAACACCGGAAGAAAGCTGGAGCCCGACCCACCCTTCAGTGGATTCTCCCCTTCAGGAGCAGGACTAGCCCTTACTAGGGGACACTAGTGGATATTGCCCAGGCTGAAAGGAAAGGAAAGCAAACAATAGCTCAGAGGGACGGGGGGGGGGGAGCCCTCTATGTCCAGTACATCCCTGAGTGCCCCCTCCCAGCCCCTCACAGACCGGGCAGCAAAGGAAGGAGCCCAAGAGCCTGGCTTACGGCCAGTACTACAGCGCCATCTGCTGTCATCATTCAATCTCATTCGTGCAGGGACACAGTTGTTCCCTACCTACATTCACATCTGTGTGCATAGACCCCACACTTCACACTATTTTTCCTGAGTCTTACAAACGTACCCAGGCTGACCTTGAACTCTCTATGTAGCATAGGATGGCCTTGAATGCATTACAATCCTCCTGCCTCTGCCTGTGCGTGCTGGGGTTATAGGTATAAACCATCATTCCTGGCTTCCACATGGTACTCTTGACAGTTGTGTTCTCAGGCCTAGGTTGGTGGTCAAGATAACTCCAGCCCAATGGTTCCCAACCTTCCTAATGTTGCAACCCTTTAATACAATTCCTCATATTGTAGGCATTCCCAACCATAGAATTATCTTGTTGCTATTTCATAATTGTAATTTTGCTACTGTTATGCATTGTAATGTAAATATCTTATATGCAGGATATCTGATATGCAACCTCAAAAAGGGGTCAAGACCCACAGGTTGAGAACTGCTCTCTAGACTCTTTGGATATTTTTCCACTCTTAACCCTTCTGTGGCATCACCACCCTGTCCCGGTCTCTTCTTCAGGTTCTTAAGCCGGTATCATCCACATTGTCCACACTCCAGAGGAGCCTCAACTGGGGTGTGGCTCTTGAGGGACACAGAGAACATGGGAAGGGAATCTGTCCCAGCACTCACTGCGTGGACCAGCCCCAGCAGCCCCTGCATCAAAGTAGGAGAAGAGGGAGTCCAGCTCATCTGGGCAGAAGAGGGAGTCTCGGCGGAACTTGCGCTCCACAGTGCCAGCTGCAGGAAACAAGGCACATGTTCAGATGGAGAAACCGAGACCTGGGATGGGAAGGCCTTGGGTTATTTAGAGTCAGTCGGAGCTCCGAGGTGCTCCTATAAAGCCCTGCCTCCAGCCTACCCAACCCCACTGTAACAGAGGGTTGGTGGCTCCTCCCAGGGCTGCATCGAGCCTGTTCCCAAACCTGCCCAAGTACACGAGCTCAGGTGCAGCTGCTGGCAGCCCTCCCACCTGAGGACAAAGCAGCGATGGAGGGCAGGACAGGCTCAAGCCGGACCTTGCGGCGGGTAGTAGGGGCGTGGGGGGAGCTTTGAGGGCGCTGGCACTTCTGTGCCCTCCAGCGTCTTGGGGCTTCTCGGGTTGGTGCAGAGGTCAGCTTCCTCAGAAACTTCTTTTCAACATATTTGTCCTTAATCCATGCCTCTTTGTCCTGTCTGGACCAGAGGTGAATATGAGACAGCATCCATAGGCTGGGGCTCCCGTGGCCGAGCTGGCTGTCCCCACCTTACCTGGAACTGCTGGCTGTGGGTTTTCTAATGCCTGGGCCCTCACACTGGGCCTCATAGATCTGGTTCATGGTACTATTTCCAAGCTCACACATCAGCTGTGGGATGCAGTGTATGTGGATGTTAGTCCAAGTTCAAAGACCTAGATCCCACCCCTGCCTCTCTGGAGCTCCAGTGGGCTTCGTCTTCAGGAACCCTTTCACATACCTTTAGCAGCTCTGGCTCCCAGGAATCCAGTGTCAGAGACCGTACCTTAGAGCAGTGAACACCCAAGCTCCTGGAAAGAAAGGGATAGAGATGGACAGAGGCATGACTATCCAGAACCTCAGCCAGCCCTGTCTAGCCAGAGTGGAGAAGGACTACCTGTGGATGCCGGAGCACTCAATACAGAGCAGCACACCCAGGTTGATGCTGGCCCAGCGAGGGTCTGGCTGGCCACAGTCGCCACACTGGCTGTTGCCAGCCACGCTCTGAACACGCTGCAGCACGCTCTCGCCCTTGACTCCACGTTCCCGAGAGTCCGTGGTGGAATCAATGCTGCTTGTTGACGGTGATGCTGTGCGGTCCAGCCTCTGGTGAATGGTGGGAGGAGCCACTCAGCCCTTCAGGAGCTTGTCTCAACTCCCCAGAAGAACCCCAGTTAAGAAGAGTCAGCATAGACTGGGGCCCCTCAAACACAATTCTGCATGCGTGTACACATGCAAACACTGCACATGCACACATGCACACACTAGCTGCACAGGCATGAACGTAGCCTACAGGACTGTTCTGGGGACACACAGATAGGCACAGGTGGGAGGAGAGAAGCAGCGCACCTCACTATAGCAGCTGTCTGGACTTTCCCGGTAGGCAGAGGCAATGCTGGCCTGCACAGCTTGAACCCAAGCCTGTCTCAGCTTCTCAGAGTCAGCCTGTAGCATACAGCTCCTACAGGGAGGAGCTGGTCAGCCTGGGTAAGCAGGGCTTTCCCCGACCCTTCCCGGGACTGGGCTTCCTCACTTGGTAGGTGACACAACTTCAAAGCAGAACCTCCGCTCAATGTCCTCACACGGCTTCACGGAGCATAGACGCAGGTCGTCAACCACCACAGTCAGCGCATCCTGTCGGCGGTACAAGCTTACCACTCTCATGTCCATCTTCTCCTTCATCTTAGACTCAAGCAGTGTGTTTCTAACTCCCTGCTCCCCTGACCTTTTGCACTTTGGTGCCTGTCTGGGTCCTCAGCCCTGTGCCAACATCCACTAAGGAGCCCAACCCATAGTCTAGATGGGAAGGAGTCTGGCCAAGGGTGGCCCTGTCCCCCAGCACACCTTGAGTTTCTTCTGGTAGACCAGCTGGCTGTTCTGAATGGAGAACCATCGTCTAGGTGAGGAGAAAGGGGAGACAAGCAGTTAGGCAGAGCTAGCTCCATGGCTACTCCACCCTCAGCCCTGCCTGAGGGGGGGTCCTTACCGGTTCCACGTCTTGAAGGCATTGCTGGCTCTCTTAAAGAGGTAGCCCTCCATTACCACGCCACTTGGTGCATCCACATCAAACTCCACTTTTGGCTCATCGTAGGAAAAGTCCTAAGGGTAGAGCTGGCCCTCGGGCAGTGCCCATCCATCCTTGAAGGGTCCCACCCCCTCTCAGGCGTCCCCCAAACTAAAGCTAAGGTGAGGCACATGATTGGGGAACCTCTGCCTGCCACAATTTCCTGACCAAGCAAGGCCCTTTGTCTAAAGACCCTATGGGAAGATCCCTTGTGTTCACAGCTGGTCCCGAGTACTCCGGCCCCCACAACTAGGCTTGCAGAAACAAGCAGGCTATGATCAGGAAGGAAACTGCCCTCCCTGTCTACCCCCCACCCCATCCTGAGTGTTTCATGCACTTCGCCAGCTGGGCCTTCTCCAGCTGCCTGACAGAGCTCCATTCAGAAGCCAGAGAGCCTTGGGTGTCCTGTGTGTCCTGCTGTCTGCCAGGCCAGGCCAGCAGAGAGCCTTGGGTGTCTGTGTGTCCTGCTGTCTGCCAGGCTAGGCCAGTAGAGGGAAGAAGGCCTTACCACCTGCTCTCGGCCTGAGCAGGGGAAGGAAGACACACTGCCACCACTCCTGTAGGAGGACTGGCCAGATTCAGCTTGCTGGTGCTACCAACTAGCTGGCCTACAGGCTCCTCCCAAAGGGCAGCAGGAACACTGAGATGGGGAGGTGTACTCAATGTTAAAAGACCCCAGAAAGAGAGCATCTGAATAGCTGCATGAGTCTATCCCAGAGTGCAACTCTCTTACCTGCAGCAGTGTCTGAGGCCCAAGCAGGAGGGAGGGGAAAAGAGAAGAAACAGGGAGATCCAGTGAATGATGACGCTGCTCCCCAACACTGCCAGGCTCTTTTATCCCACCTGCAGCCAATCTCTGCCCGGGGGGAGTGGGGGGATGATGGATGGGACCACCGTCCAGCAGTTGAGCAAAGGTTCCAGAAGGAACCCATGATTAGTTATAGGGGTACCCACAGCCTTTAAGGCAGTGGTTCTCAATCTGTGGGTCATTACCCCTTTGGAGGTTGTATATCCTGCTTATCAGATATTTACATTACAGTTTACAACAGTAGCAAATTACAGTTATGAAGTAGCAACAAAATAACCTTGTGGTTGAGAGTCAGCCATAAACACCAGGAAGGTTGAGAACCACTGTTCTAAGGAGTGAAGTTCCAGGTCTCAGCTCTGGCCCTTCCGTACATATATCAGGCTCACTCTATCAGAGAGTCAGCCTGCAGCAGACATCTTTGTAGGGAGGTGCTGGTCAGTCTGGGTAAGCTGGGCTTTCCCCAGCTTAAAGACTGCGCCCCTCCCTCTGCTGCAGACTAAGACGGCAATTGTTAAAGGCCTACTGGGTAATAAATGGACAGTCTTGGGAAGAGGGGTGGAGTTGGTGGATGTATCTACTGGAGACCCAGGTCAGAGCTATGGAGTGGTGACGAGGGAGTAACGCCCTTGACTGACATCCCTGCCTGTTCAGGGAGACAGGGCTGCAGTGCCTCACCCGTTGCTGAATGGCAGCATGCTTGCGTTCCATCTCACGCTTCTCCACGGCAGAGTCTATCACAAGCTGGTCCAGCTGTGGGGAGGGCAACACAGGAAGGCAGTAGACCCCTTCCCAAGACCTGAACCAGGAGCCCCCCCAAAAGCTCAGACCCCGAGTCACTCCTGTAGGCTCACCTCGGCTGCCAGCTTCTTCATGTAGGGGTCCAGCTGGTGGAGAAGACTGTATCCCTGCTGGAAGAAACTGTACTGGGCATGCATAAAAGACAGCATCTGTGGGTGAGAGCAGAGCCCAAGTGAGGCCCGGATCCTGTCGTTCAAACCTTGCCCATGGGTACCTCCCCACACAAGCACTCACAGAATCTAAGATCTCAAACTTCTTCTTGGCCTGGAGGACGTTGATCTGCCAGAGGAAGAGCAAGCAGACGAGGTGTCAGAGCCCAGAAGCCCATGGTCATCTACCTGGACTGCTTATAGTTCTAAGACCCCCAGGTAGTTTTTAGGACTCTGTATGTTATTAGCTCCATCCTCCCCTGGGTCCAGTCTTTCCCCTTGTCTGAATATGAGGTCACATATGGATGAAACCAAGAATCATCATCCTTGCTCATATCCCTAAAGGCTTCCTGTATAAGGTCAAGGCATCCACCCCCTATTGCTTACCCTGCCTCCAGGCCTTTGCAGGATATCATCCCTACCCATGGGAGAAGATACACCTCTGTTGCCCCACAGCTAACCTGGAGCACGTAGTCCAGTGCCAAGTGGCGGAAGCACTTCCGGGTGAGAGTGAGGGCACCTGTGGCCTCCTCTACTTCATGGGGCCGGTGCCTTGGGGCTTGGGCATTCCTCACCAAGGACAACTCCATGTCCTCCCGCACTTTGTCAAACTGCTTCTTTGTCTCTTTGAACTTGCGCACATCCCTAGGTGCCAGCCGATAGGGATGCCAAGAATCAGAGGTCAGAACGAGAGTGAGTGCACAGTAAATTTCAGATATCCTGGGACCCCCACTGGCTCCTGAGAAGGATCTTTTTTCTTAACTCCCTATCTGGGACTCTATCTTACTTTTTCTTCCCTCTTCTCCGACCTAGGACCTCCAAACCTTCACAAGTTTACTCTACATCCTGACACAGCCTAGACCCCAAGCTTATCCCCGCCTCCAGACCCATATGGCAAATATCAGCCTAGAGTACGAGGATAAACTGCTTCCTCCACCCTGTCCCGTATGCCCCATCTCCTAGCCTTTGCCCCTGTAGGCTGAACCTCCTGTAAGAGGGCAAAGCCCTCTCACAGCCTGAAGCCTCGGCCAAGGACCTGCTGCCCTTCTTATCCGGAAGATGGAATATGGAATTCAGCATCCACCATGGCGCTTGGCTATAGGGCTAGGAGTTTGGCTGGTGGCTCTAGTCACTCACTCTTTCACAAAGTTGTGGAGCTGCTGCCGCACCGACCTCTGGGCCTGGTCAAACAGGATCTGGGATGGAGGTAGGGTGGGGGTTATTAGGGTCACTGTTGACTGACAGGACAAAGACAAAGTTTAGTCCCCTACCAGGTGAGAACTGGGATCCCTGCCCATCTCTTTCTGGGCCCCAGCGCCCTCTACAAAGGACACTAGCTACGGAGCTTGTCATGTACCAGGGGGGCCTCTTGGGAGCCAGGGGTAACAGCTGTAGCCACCTGCTCATCTTTCCACTTGGCTCTTCGCCAGTCTGGAGGTCAATATGATGGCAGGCAGGCCTCTAAACTCCACCCTCACCATCTGCATGGGCTACTTCAGGCCCGCTGCTATCAGCAAGAAGGACTCAGAGCAGAGAGTTCCAGTAGGTCCTGGCCTGGGGAAGGTGGTAGCTGACTGCTGGGAACCCTCCATACATACCCCTGACCCACAGGGAGAAGGGATGAGCCAAGCCAGGGGGTAGACAGACAGACTAGCAGCTGCAAGGATGAGCCATCCCAAGCTGGTTTATGTCTGAGCTTTCCCTGGTCTGGCCAAGTAGGAACCCCTGTTTAGTCTGAGACTCTGACTCCCAGGCCATGGTTTACCCCAACTCCACTGAGACTTGGCCTGTTCTTTTTGTCTATTCGCATCAGTACTGGGGCTTTATGAGTCTACCAAGCCCTGCCTGGAAGGCAGTGAGGCTGTCACCCAGAAATAAGTTGGACCAGGGCCAGGGGTAAGCTCTGCCCAGCTTTGGAGAGAGAAGAAACTTCCAAGGTTTCCTCACCTCAAGACACTGCTGCCCTCAGGTTTGAGCTGTGTGCTGCCTCCTCTGCCCCAGGATTTAGTCTAGCCACAGCCAAAGACAAGGCAGTTCCCCTGGAAATATCCCTCACATTGCAGTGACTCATAGACTTGGAGTGGCTACGATTTCCTTAGATTAAGGGAGTGGAACATAGCCTTTCTCACTCAGGGCCACCAGCTCAACTCCCTGAGAGCCAGTCAGCTTTGCTCTGGTCTAGGTAGGGTCTTCAGGAGAAGAAGTGAGGTGTGAACTCAGATGGAAGCGGAGACCCCACTTGCCCCTTGGAGCTCACCGTGTGATAGTTGACCATCTCCTGCAGGCTGTCTCCAAACCTCTGCAGGCATTCCTGAAGAAAAGCACGGGGAAGACCACACTGAGGTGAGCAGTGGGGCTGAGGCCATACTAAGCTGTATATGTAGCATCTCCTTCAAGTCCATAAAGACTCCTCCCTGCCCACGGGTTAGGTGTACTGAAGCAGAGTGCAGACACCCAGTGTTCGTGATCCAGACACCCTTTGGGGGGCTTCCTCCCCTCCCCCAACCCCACCTTGGCCCCTCACCGAAATGACGGTGTCACCCTGGCACTGCAGGGACAGGTCTCGGACGCCGCTCACGAAGAGCCTGTTGGTGGTAACATACGCCTTGCCAGCTTCGATCATGCCGCTGCACAGTTTGACCAGCTGCAAGTGGGACAGAGTGGGCAGGATGAGGGCTTGACAGTTTCTCTAAGCTGGTCACTCAGATCAGCCACAAGGTCGGGCCATACAGGATACACTTCCAGCCATGGGCAGCCAAAATTCAGTTCAGGCCCATTAGCATCCAGACATAGCTGCCCGCTGAGCCTCAGCTCTGGACTGAAGAAACCATAGCAGAGCATACAGGGCTAGAGTATGGTCCCACAGGGTCAGAGGGCCAGGCAGCACATAGCCCCTGCCTCCCCGGCTGTGATGTTTGCTCCTTTTCCCCTTCCCTTCCTTATCCTTGGCCCCTACCCCAGTCACACTAGGCACAGCAAGGACAGCAGCTGTATCCCAACCAATAGGCATCTCCAACATAGGCAGATATATAGACTGGGCTTGAAGTGGGCTAATAATGCTGGGCCCTTTATGGACCACCAGGTCTGTCTCTTACCTTGTCCAGTTTAGCTTCGATCTCAACCACATCGGTTTCTACCTCATCAATGGTTGCCCTACAACAAGAATTGGGCAGTTAGGTCAACTGGAGTTTCATCTCCTGTTGCGTCTCCCCAGGGGTTTTGCTGCCAGAAGGGGGCTCCAGGAAACTGAGACTGAGAGGGGCAAGCACCTGCCTAATGGACAGAACTGGGACCCAGGTCCAATACTTTGGAGCTACCCAGAGGCCACCAGACAGGCTGAAGCCACCTAGCCATATCACATGGGCTATCATGCCTCTGTCTCTCTCTCTGTCTCTGTCTCTGTCTCTGTCTCTCTCTCTCTCTCTCACACACACACACACACACACACACACTATAGTAAGCAAGCATAGCTGTGATGTTGGTGCCCATGACAGTCCTCTCTGGGGGGCTCAGAGTTGAACTTGGATACCACTTGGATAGCCAGCCCCTCCTCAACTGAAAAGAGTCTGTCCCCTCACTTCTTTGGCCCAACTCCAGGCCACTTTGGCCTGCAGCTAAATGACACTAAGGAAGGCTGGTTCTGAACCAACAGCTAAAGGACAATGCCTCAAACCAGCAAGGGACAGGCCTTCCATCTCCCTCAACCTCAAGACTCCATCTGCCGGGCAATGGTGGCGCACACCTTTAATCCCAGCACTCGGGAGGCAGAGGCAAGAGGATCTCTGTGAGTTCGAGACCAGCCTGGTCTACAGAGCTAGTTCCAGGACAGGCTCCAAAGCCACAGAGAAACCCTGTCTCGAGAAAAAAAAAAAAAAAGAGAGACTCCATCTAGCTCAGTTCAGCCAGCAGGAGAGGTTCTTTAGAACCCATTCCCACCAATCCAGCCTGATAAAAAAGATATGCCCTGGGGAGGGAGGAGTTAATAGTGACATCACCAGGAGAAGCCGGGGAGAATCCCGGAAGCCAAAGACAGATGGACCAGGCACGTGACCCCCCCCCCCAAACTCCAACTTGAGAACAGGAAATAAGGAAATAAGGACAGGCTCCCAGCAGTCCCCACCTCAAACAATCAGCTCAGCTGGTGAGCTACGCCCTTCTGGCCTGTGTGGGAACATAATAGGCCAAGGGTTTATACAGACCACTGACTTGGGGTGGGGTACCAGAGGGGATATATAGCCATATAGTTTTGCAGTTCCTTACCCCTCTCTGCCCTACTCTCTAGAAGGATAAGAAGAAAGATCTGTTCTAGGGTTTCTCCTGAGTAAAGGGCTTGAGAAACACACAGGACATAATTCAGTGTGGCCTCAATTAGGACCCTCAAAGGGTCTGGCCATCAGCCTCATCCCTTTTTGGGGGACAAGGCACCATGAATCCTAAAGCAGAGAAGAGGCAAGAATAGAGCTGCAGCAGCTGATTAAATCGTTGGCAGCATGCCTCCAAAGGATACCCCACGGCCTGCCCTGCTTAGGGAAAATGCCCTTTAGCTATGAGCCTAACACAGGCCACTACAGGAGGCTCTGGTCCAGAAGGCTGGCTACTATGGGAGTCAGAAGTTCCCAGAACACAGATGTAACTATCTGCATAGGAGAGCACAATTCAGGACACCCCCAAGCAGGCCCGACAGCCCAGACAGCTGCATGGAGAATTGCAGCTGGCCAGGGAGCCAGGAACTGGGAGGAGCTGCACCAGGAGCTGACATATGTACTCCCAGGGACGTGGGAACATGGTGGGCACTTAGCAGAGGCTCAGGGAGCCAGCACTCTGTCCTAGGAGTCTCTCAGCACTCCCTTGCTCAGCCAAGGACCTGAGGCATCATCCTCCTGCCCTATGCCTGTCTGGCCAGCCAGGGACTTCCTCAGCAGCTTGGAGGTTGGGGAGGAGCCCCCTCACCAAAGCCATGACTCAGCGCTTGAAGCCCCACCCAGGGCAGGGCTTGCAACCAAGGCTGGGCGGCTTCTCTTCCGGGGCTCCCCTGCACCCCCACCCACAGCTTCAGGGACTATGAGACATTCCTAAGGCTGCTGTCATAAGCCCTTATCCTAGGCTAAGAGCCCCAAAACAAAATTCCCACATTTCCAGGTTAGGGTCACTTCCACATCCTTCTGCCAGGCGCACCCTGCCCTACCTAAAGGTTCTTGGCCAGAAAGATCACGTTATAACCTCAGTAACACCTTAGAGTAGACAAGGTACTCTTCAAATCCATCAAATCACAGCCCACCCAAAACCCCGAGCCAGGTTTCCATGGCACCAGAACCAAAGTCCAGAAAGTCATCTCCCACAACACCCCCTACACATGCACCAAAAGAAGCGACGTTAAGCCTAGCCAGCTGCCACACCTACTGCAGCCCACAAGTCCAACTGGCTGGCTATAGCAGAGAAGGCCCAGAAGTGAATGGATTTCTGCTAAGGCCCAAACCCCTCCACAAGGCAGAGTGGAGCCAGAACTTCTCAGAAGGGGGTCAGGGGGCTTCAGCTGAGGCCAAGTGCCTAACACTGAGGCCTTGGCCATGCTTCCTATCAGGCCTGGATACAGAAATGTGGGGTATCTGAGTCACTCGATCATTCAGCGATAGAAAATAGGAACGCAGAGATGAAGATTGCCTCAAGTTCCCTGCCTACAGTCAGCGGACACTCTTGGCTAACTAATGCGCCAAGGCTCCTGAGGTGTTTCTTGTTGACTCTCTTGCACAGTGGTTTTGAAAAGAGCTGAACTGCGTGTACAAATGTGGTCAAGCACATATGTGCAAAGGCACACATACATATTTATACATAAATATGCATGCACGCATGTAGTAGCACTGGGCACACAGACATGTGTGTTCCATGGACACGGTAAATACATGTGCATGGGCATGTGCACCCGTGTTAAAACACACATCTAGTAGTATGGCAAACATGGTTCTTGAATCCACAGAGAGGTGGCACACGCACATACATGTGTGCACCCTCACCAGGCTATGTGCATGCATCAAGCGCACCAACCCCGTGTTGCAGCTCACCTACACATTCATGTGCATGGTCTGGCACCTCCTCAAAGGAGGGGCAGAGTGGCAGAACATGTCCCCCTGTGTATATGCACACACAGAGGTAGGGGACCTCATGAAGGTATGCAATTTCAAACAACACACAGGAGGTACTCCATTACTGTTTGCCAAATGTCAACCAATGAAACAGATGTATATCTGTGTGGCCATGTGGTTCACACAGACGTGCACGACTATATGTCCAGGAACAATAAAAGAAACAAACTCATAAGTGAACAAGGTCCATACCCTACCACCTAATCCTGACTTCCTCGTCTCCACAACCCCCACCCCTCCAGGAGCCTGGGTCATTCATACCACCCTTCACTTTCACTAGGGTGTCCATCTCAGGCTCTGATTGCTCCAGCTGGCTGCACCCATAGACTGCTCTGGACATATGGGCCAAGACAGAAACCAGGGACAGGCGAAGCAAGGCGCTAGACAATCCTAGCCAGAACTGGACTACAGGGCCCACGGGGAGCTCAGTACTAGTGACATACGAAAGCACAAACACAAAGGAGAGTGGACAGTTCTAGAGGTGGCACTGAACGCAAATGCCCGGCGGTACACGGCTGCCCAAGGCAGTCCGAGCACTCACCCCCCCCCCCCGCGCGGGAGGTGATCAGCACAGACAGGGGCGTCTTTTGTTCCGGTCCCCCGAGGCCGGAGGCGGAGCTGCGCGGCTTGGGGACCGCGACTCCGGCTCCGGCCGGTTTATCCAGGCCAGGTCTTCTGCTCCGTCCAGGTGGACTCGGACCGGTCACGATGCTGGGCATCCCTTCCCCGCCCCCGGCACAAAGGCGGCTCCCCATCCCTGACGGTGCCCTATCCCAGGCCCACAGCACACCTAAAGCGCGGCGAGTCCTTGATGCATTCCTCGAACTCTACCGTCATGGCTGCGGCGAGCGGCGCTCACTGAACCGAGGACCACGACGCGTCGAGCGGCATCCCCGGCCGGTGGACGGTCCGTCGCGCCCGCGCAGCGCTCCGCGCCCGCCCGCCCGCCCGCCTCGGAATGAGGCCGGCGCGCCGCTGCCCCGCCCCGCCTGTCACCGCCGGGGAGCGTCGCCAAAGTCCGCCGCCGCCTGCACCACCCGCTGTCACCTCCAGGGAGCGTCGCTAAATGCGCCGCTGCACCCCGTTGCCTGTCACCGTCCTCTGTCCTCAGCCACCGGGGTCAGGGAGCTGGGCCGGCCGCGGCGGTTGGGATTCGGAGAGGTCGGCCCGGCTTCGGGAAAGGGAAGGGCGCGGTTGTCTCACTTCGGACATCCCTGTCTTGGTTAAACTCAGGGAATTTACAAAACAACATTTGGGAGCGCTCGGTCAGAACGTGTAGACAGACACATTCCGGGAGGACGGGACGGTGGCGGGGAGATCGGGAGTGAAGGGGTGAACAAATTAAGGACGACACGCATGCTGAAACAACCCGTCGCCGCGCCCTGTGAGGCAGAGGACAGTGAGCCCCGTCGGGCCCGGAGGACGGCACTTCGCACCCGCTCCCTAAGCTTGGCCCCGCCTCCGTTGCCCGGTCCCGGAGGCCGGGCGGGGTGAGGCGAGTGAGTGCGCAGGCGCCTCGCGGCGGGGCAGGGCGGACCGCGGGCCACGTGCAACGGCCCCGCCCACCAGCTACTCCACCATGGGTTCCTGCGGGACTGTGGGTCCTTTGCGCGCGCGCTACCTCGTGTTCTTCCAGTATTTGGGCACGGATTTCAAGTACGTTTCCCTGTCATCACCTCCGGTGTCTCCACTCGGGCTCGCAGGGGGTTCGCGAGAGGCCCGTAGGGGCCGAGACTCCAGGCGGGACAGCTCCCGCAGACGCTACCGATAACTCCCTGCTGTATCTCTCTGCAGTGGGGTCGCGGCCGTGAGGGATAACCATCGCGCTGTTGGGGTGCAGAACTTCCTGGAGGTGAGCTGTTTTTTCTCGGGGACAATGGGGGGGGGAGAAGCAACCGACAGCCCCAATCCCGGCCCGCACCCACTCCTGCCTGCCCGCACCCTGTCCCTGCAGGAGGCCGCCAAACGCCTGAACTCTGTCGAGCCCATCAGGTTTACTATCTCCAGCCGCACTGATGCCGGAGTGCACGCCCTGAGCAACGCGGCGCACCTGGACATCTGTCGCCGCTCAGGCCTGCCGCCTTACTCCCCGGAGGTCGTGACCCAGGCCCTCAACACCCACCTGAAGCACCGCGACATTCGGTGAGCCGGGGATTGAGTATGGTTCTGGTCTTTGTTCTTTACTAACGTACCCCACACCCCACTGTGAGGAAGTCTGAGGTCCAGAACGACATTGTATTCTGGGCAACTTAGAGGTGAGTGGGAGATTTCCCGGGATGAGCCAGATCTGTTTGCCACAGCGTACTGAAGGCCTTCCGAGTGCCCAATGACTTCCATGCTCGCCGTGCAGCCACCTCCAGAACCTACCTCTACCGTCTGGCCACAGGCTGCTCCTGGCCTGATCAGCTGCCTGTGTTTGAGCAGAATGTATGCTGGGCTCTCCAGACGAAGTGAGTGAACCAAGAACGGGAAGAAAAGGTTCACCAGCATCTGGCTGGGCCCTCCTCAATGCTTATCTGCCTCTGCAGGTGCCTGGATGTGGCTGCCATGCAGGAGGCTGCCCAGCACCTCCTCGGGACACATGATTTCAGTGCTTTCCAGTCTGCCGGCAGCCCAACCACAAATCCCGTGCGCACACTACGAAGAGTCTCTGTGTCTTCTGGTCCAGCCAGCCCATTTGCCCTCCCCCAGGAGAGCAGGTGAGAAGAGTACTTTGCACTATGGTCTGCTGCTGGTCTAGAGGCCACCAGGGTTAAATTAGACCTCGTAATAATCCCATAAAAGTGGGATGATGCCCTGGGTGGTGGTGGTGCACTGCTTTGATCCCAGCACTTGGGAGGCAGAGGCAGGCTGATCTCTGTGAATTTGAGGCCAGCTCCATTTACAGATCTAGTTCCTAGTCAGCCAGAGCTACAAAGAGAAACCCTGTCTTGAAAAAAACAACAGTAAAAACAGCAGGCTGATGCTAAACTGGTATACTGGTCATCCATAAGGCCTAGAGGGTGGACGGTGCTGGCCACTTAAGAGATGAACCAGTAGCTTTCCTGTCTGGCTGGGGAGCACAGGGTAGCGAATGTTGCCTTTCTGAGGACCCTGCCATGCCCATAGCTCTCTGTAGCAGATGGATTTGGCAGTCACTGAAAAGGTTTCATTGGAGCTAGTAGTTCCAGTCCAGTTTGACAGACTGTGTAAGTTCTCTGCCTCAAGCACTGCCTAGTGGACTTCCCACCGGGAACCAAGTGCTGACCTTGAGAACACTTCAGCTAAAGCCAGCCCCCAGGGGAGGAGGGACTTGGGCCAGGGTTCCTGTCCTACCTCCACACCCATACTGTGGCCTCTCCACATGAAGGAAAGCTCAAAACAATTGCTGTCTCCTGTGCACAGGCTGACGACTCTGTTACATAGTTGTCTGCTTATATAGACTCCAGGAAAAGTCGTGCAATACCCACTCGATCTCTGGAACTGGTGGTCAACTAGGCAAGAACCCACACTGGATGGATGAGCCTTTAAACCAGAACTTCAATCTTTATCTTGCCTGAGGCCACATGGTGGGCTAGGATGGCTGGGGCTGGCCTGTAGCTTGGACATCAAAGCCCTCTGTGTTCCTAGGAAGCTGCAGTTCTGGACGCTGGAGTTTGAAAGCCAGTCTTTCCTGTATCGACAGGTAGGCTGTACTAGACCCTCCCAAGCTGCATCAGATAGACACCTGTGACCATCTCAGCTCTCTACTGCAGGTACGGAGGATGACGGCTGTGCTGGTGGCTGTGGGGCAAGGGACTCTGACACCTACACAGGTGAAAGCCATTCTGGAGAGTCAAGATCCCTTGGGCAAGTATCAGACTCGAGTTGCCCCAGCCCGTGGTTTGTTCTTGAAGTCAGTGCTATATGATGATCTCGGTAAGAGGGGATGGGATGGGAAAGACCTGGGTCCTCAGTGAGGGGAGGGGCCTTTTAGAGGCAGTCAGACCCCCCCTCACCGTACTAGATGAGAATCCAAGCACCTAGTGGGGAAACCAGTGACAGTGGGAGAAAGGACTTCAGTTGGGAACCAGTGACCAAAAAGTGTGGTGGCCTGGGTTGAGTGGTCCACAGGTGGGGTCTCTGGATGCAACTGTAGGAGTTCTGCTCTGACCGAGGGTCTATCTATAGGTCCTACATCCTGAGCCCTGTAAGGTCCAGTGTGGAAACCAGCTGACTGTACCCTCAGTGGAGGTGAAGAGCCACACAGCAGACTGTCTGGCCGACAGCCTTACTCAGTGTTTACTGCACTCAGCAGAGACTAACCCACAGCTCTGTGGGGCTCTGGTAGTCCTGCCTACCTTCCTGCAGCTCCCACCTCCCCAGTCTTTCCACCGTGGACATCACTTTGTCACTAATGATGGGGTGCCAGGCAGGAAACAGCTGTAAGCACCCAAGTAGCTTCTGCTTTCCTGGGAGCCCCATCCTCTAGGAATAAGGGAGTAGGAATAAAAAGGCATAGAGTAAAAAAGGCCTGTTTATTATTGTAGCCAGCCTGTGACTCTGATCTTGTCCCTAGGACAGAATCTGTCTCAGGGCAACCACTTCCCAAAGCCAAAGTCCTGGTCCTTCTGCTGGGCAAACAGGAGACAGAGTGGTGGGTTACTGAGGTTGCAGGTCAGCTGGGTGCCTGGGGAAGGCCATTCTTCAGCAGTGCTGTGAGGAAGCTTCCCAGCTCTTCATCCTGGAAGAAAGGGAAGCACAATTACCCACGGACAACCTAATGCCAAGGAAGTGAGGCCCCAGGCAAACCGCTGACACCCATCCTTACCTGGTAGGTCCAGGAGACCAATAGTACCTTAGTACCAGGGTCCTCCGAGTGAGCAGCAGCCTGGATAAGAATGGACTCCACGGTCACAGAGCCATCAGGGAGGTGCTGTACACAGTGGTCCTTGAGGGTGCTGTAGAGAGGCATAGTAAGATCCCTGCCTCACCCTGCCTGTAGGGGTGGGGGCAAGGCCAAGGCGCACCTCTTGAGGTGACTGTAAACACGTAGGGCTGTTTCTTGCTCTTTGCGTGTGTCCTGCAGGTGCACACGACAGGTAAAGCGCAGTTGGTGCTCAGCCAGGCCCAACTCTTTGAGGGCTTGCTCTGAGGATACCAGCCGGAAACTCTGTGGGGCAAGGGCAAGCTGGTCAGAGGAAGTAATGAATGCTATCCCCCCATCACTCTTTACACACTTACACTGTCTTTCATAATTAGTGTGCCATGCAAGAGCCGAGGCTTTTTGGCCTCAGGGAGCAGTCCTGTGAGGAAAGGAATACTACAGTCAACACAAGCACCAATTACCTGCCTCCCTCGGCCCGTGTCCCAGTCTCCCCTTCATACCCTGCACCATCTCCCGCTTCAGCAGCCCCAGGGAGATGCCTACAGGAATGCTGGGGCTCGTGGGCAGCGTCACTGTCTCGCCATTGGCCGGCATGTAGCAGCTGACTCCTGAGGAGAGTGATACAGAGTCTCAGTCTAGGCTGCCAGCCTTGCCTGTACCATCCCACAGGCCATCCCTGCCCACCAGCTGCCTACGAAATTCCTGCTCAATCTTCTGCCTCAAGAACTCCATTTTCTTGGCCTCGCCATGCACCAGCAGCACACTCTCCGGCTCTGCTTGTCCCACCAGTTGCATGATACCCTTGGCATCAGCATGGGCACTGAATGACATGTATTCCACTTGCATCTTTACTTCCAGCTGTGGTGTCACAAGATGCACGCAGTTAGCAGCAGCAGTAAAAGCCTGGGAGCCTTGCTGAGCCCAGGACAGGGAGGTACTCACCACCTGACGCCCTTCCATCTCCAGTTTTCGTTGCCCACTAAGGATCTTGTGGCCCACAGTGCCTTGCACACAGTAGCCAGGCATGATGACCTGAAAGCAGAGGTGGCCTCCCAACATAAACATTTCCTCTTGGGACAACCCCTGACCTGAATACTCAGTCTGTGCTGCTGCTGGT